AATTGAACAGTTTGTAATAATTTCATATTTAAAGTACTTTCAGAAGTTTGAATTCTGAATATGAGCGACTTTTCCTTTAAAGAAAACAGAATAATCATGATCAGTGAATTGAATATGGGATCCAGGGAGGAGCCTGAATGAATCTGTGAAGTTTTGTTTCTTGTTTAACCTCCAAGCTGACGCTTCCTGCCATGAATAATCAGGAAACTCTCCATCCAGGTTTGTCCCTCTGCTTATTTGTAAGAAGCCTGGAGAGCCGCACTACAGCTGCTTTAATCAAGCCGAGGACCAAAGAATGGGAAGATTTATTTCCCTGTTTTAAATAAATCACCATAAAACCTTCTTCTGCTTGGAAATGAAAGGAATAGTGAATGTAAAATAAAACCAGAGCCTGTGTTTGTGGTTCAGAGTCAATCATTAAATGTTCCACATTCCCCCCCGCCCTGACTTACATGCTGCTTTATATGAGAAGTGAAAAGCAGCAAAGCGATGGTAAATTAAAGGATACCCAGACGGGGCTGTTTTTGAAGTGTGGATGGACGCTCTGCCACTCCACCCTCTGAGGCTGACCATCCAGGATCAGCAGGAGCCCCACCGACTGCGCCTGGAGGAGGACAAGGCTGGATGAAGAACAAACATACCCCTCAGGCAGACGGATAAAATAACTACTTGGTTTATGGAGAAATAGCCAGGAGAGTTTGAGAAGGTGTGATTACAGGCAGAGAAGTGCTTCAGAAGAAAACACTAAAAATAAAAAGCAGAGAAGAAAGGTGCTGACATTGACGGGCCTGGAGAAGGCCACGGCGACTCTCTCCTCCTCCCGACTCACGTACACGCAGCTTATCATCTCATCTCGCTCCGCTGGTTAAAAGAAACATCAAAACAAATGAAAAAACATGTCAAATTCCCCTGTAAGGAATCGCAAAGTGTAACAAATAGCAGAACAAACTGGAACGTCTACGCTACGGTGAAAAGTTCACACATTCACTGCAAAAACGATCAAAAAACGAGTAAAAATGCCTGAAATTAAGTGTATTTAGCCTTAATCTGATAAAGTAAATAAGATGATTTACCAATGAAATTAGTATTTTTACTCTTAAGGTTATTGGATATTATGCTTGAAATAAGACAATGCAATTGTTTTTTTTTCTTATTTTAAATGTAAATTATCTCGTTCCATTGGCTAAATGTCTCACTTCACTCCTTAATTCAAGAAAAATGTCAATTATTTTAAGAAAAATTACCATTTTTTGCATTTTTAAAGTCTAAAACTGATATTGAGGATGATATTCTACCTTTAGCTTAATGAAAAAAAGAAATTAAGCCCTGCTTCAAATGCTACGCAATTAGAAGATCATTTTAATAAGAAAGGAGGAATTAAATTAACAGACAGCAAATCTTTGGAAATTAGCTAAAAAAATGTTTTTAAGGCAAACTTTGATTCCAGGTTTGTTTAGTTTTCACTGCAATCTTTTCCACACTTTAGGATTTTCAGTGCAAAAACGATCTAGAAATAAATAAAAATTTCCTAAATTAAGTGTATTCACCCTTAATTTGAGAAGGTAAATAAGATATTTTGCCTATGGGATGAGTAATTTTACTCTCAAAATAAGATAATTAGATAACATACACTCGAAATAAGACAATGCAATTGTGTTTTCCTATTTTAAGCGTAAATCATCTTGTTCCATTGGCAGAATGTCTCTTTTATCTCCTCAATTCAAGAACAAATGCACTTATTTTAAGAAAAAACTGACTAGTCTAGATTTAGATTTTTGCAGTGTTCCATTCGGCTCCATTTAGGATGATTTTAATACATAAAATGTTTAAAATGTTTATACATGTTTGTGTATATATTGTAAAACTGATTTAAAGTTTGTTTTTCTCTCTCTGCTCTTTGTTGGGCAGAAACGTCTCATTTTGTATTTTCCTAACGGTTTGCTTGTTGCTGCCAAACATCCAGCCAAGATTTTCCTGATGAGCGTGACAGAAACCGTCTTTCTGAGTCTCTGCTGCTGCAAAGTTAAAGCTGCTTTAAATTTCATCCAAAAACACTCGACTCACTTTTCATTCCCCAAACTAAACTTTTAAATCAAGTTTAATTTCTTGAGAACTTTCCTTCTTGACGAACAGGCAGCTTAGAAACAACCTCCTATGTTCTTGAAAAGTTTCCTCTGAGTCGTATTTCAACCATTACAAACAGGAAGTGCTAAATAAATATAATGTTTGAGAATAAACACTAAAACATCTCTGCTTTTACATCCATTCAGCTTCATCATCCAATGATCAAATCCTGTCCCAGCTATAGAGAAACCCCCACAGCATGATGCGGCCACCGCTATGCTTCACCTCAGGGATCTCCTCCCTAATATTATTTAGCATGAAGAAGAAGCATTTAACTGCTTTTAGATTTTTAAATCATGTGAAGACGATACTCAGCTTTTTAATATCTGGTTAAATCAAAGGTCATTTATGTTTTAATGAGGGAGGTGAGTAGTTTCCTCTCATAGAACCAAGTTAGTTTAGTTAAGAAGGAAAAAACAAAACTGAAAACCTAACTCTATATTTGTTTTATGATCTCAAACATTCAGAAAAAAAGCAAAAACAGAAAAGATCTGTGATTGTGAAGGAGCTTATAAAATCCCTTTATGAATGTATAAAAGGGACGTTCAAAGGGAGTTTTTCCTCTCCACTGTCGCTACAAGCATGCTCAGTGTGAGGGATTGCTGAAGAGTCAATGGGCCGGATTTATCAAGATCCAATTTTGCGTGCAGTAATTTGCGCTCGCAAACTGGAATTTAGCGCGAGGGGCTGAACCATGGTTTGCGGGTGATTTAACAAGAG